ATTTACGTACATACCACTCAATTCTTTTGTATTTACACCCCCTAAACTTCAAGTTCTTACATACATATCGCCTTACATCTGCATGAAAAATGTGTATTTCTTTTTTAAAAGTTAAAATGATAGTATTTTTGATGTGATATGAAATATTGGGTTTTATAAATATAAAAAACTAAAGTTTAAGTGTTAGATATGTAAATTAATAACATAAGAATTGGGAGATATCTGTGTAATTGCCCCAAATTGGTTTAGGTAGTTGGACACTAAAGATAAAAGAAAATAGAAATACAACTGAAGCAAAAAATATAGGAGACTTGCACGCTGCAGCTATTTTTGAATAGTGCTCATAGAAGAATTTTAACTGATTGAGTATTGAGAAGCCAAAATCAAAATGTGAATGGAGTTGCAAAGTTAGCTGACAATTTTAATTTATAAAATCTACCCACTCTAATAAACAACATCTTATTTTAAACTTGGGATCAATCGTTGAAACAGTAAATAACTGAGGGATACTAGATCCTTGAAAGCTTCCTACCACTAGTTGAAAGTTTCAAAGGCTTCTTTAGGTCTGTTAACGATCCGATTTTGAGCCGAGTTGGGGTCGGGTCGAAATCTGCTCGAATAGATTTAGTGCGGATTGAAATCGGCTTGTGGCTCATTATATTCAATTTCGAGCCGAGTAGGCCCGAAATTGAATCAAGCTTGATCCAACTAAAAATCGAAATGAGTTAGCTTAAATTGAGTTATTTGAATTTGTTTCAGCTCGAAATCGGCTCAATCCAGCTAAAAATTGAAACTAATTGACTCAAATTGAGTTATTTGGATCCGTTGGATCCGTTTCAGCTCAATTCAGCTCAAAATTTGCTCGAAATTAGTTTGTGACTTGTTATATTCAATTTTATTTAGCATTATTTATAATTTTTATAAATAAAAAATACTAAGGGCCTATCTCGACTCAGTTCGAGTCAATCCATGTATGACTCAATATTGGCTCAAAAACAATTCGATCCAAAGTATCGGTTCATAGCTCAGCTCTTTTATTGCGATCTGATCTTAATAAGGGCCAAATTTTGAGTCGATTTTTGAGCGATTAACGATCTCCGAGCTAAATTTACAGCACTAGGCTCCTTTGAAAATTCAATATACTAAACTTATTGGTTGTGCTAGTTAATCCAATTTGGTATTGCATACCCAAATACGAGTACACATAATTTTTTGCTTACTAAATTGAGTCTAGTCGTCGAAGTGGTTGAATTGAATACATCTGCTGAAGTGGCTATGTCAAACCCGTCTGTCGATCCGATTATACTCATTATCCTAAAAAAGATAGCCTAGCCCACCTGGGTAAGGACAACTATCAGAAGAAACCATCATGACTAGTAAAAAAACATCATGTTTAGTAAAAACACATGTCAATCCCTTACTAAAGACGCACACTACACTTGGGCATCTAGGAACCATGGAAGGGCATTGTATCGCCTGACACTCTTATCATTGTCTTTTCATTTAGACATCAGAGAAATACATCGAACTGTACAATATGCACTACGTTGATTATTTTACTGCTTTTCTCTCTTATGTATAAAAGGTGGGGGAAAATGAGGGGTGGGGACCTGAACTCCAAAGGGATCCCAGCCTATTTTGTCTCTTTTTCTCTCTTTTTTTGAAATCTTGTAAATCAAGGAGCCTCAAATGAGCCTCACTCCTCTGACCTGCTGGAGATAAGAATTCAATATATTTTCTAATATTTTCTCTTGAGATTTTTTTCCATCCCTCTCTCTCATTTTTTGTACGATATTAGATATTTTATCGGATTATATGCACTCACAAACAATACGAGGCCTCATGCTAAAAAAAAATCAACATTCTGAAAAGTGCGGTGAACGTGGTGTTCATACACAAATTATGCATAAAAGACCCTTTCTATCTAAAGAACGCCCTCAAAGAACGATATATTGTGTCTTCGTGACTCAAAAAATTAATGAGTTGGGAGAACTAATAAGGAATAAAATGCATAACATGTGAGAAGCTTATCAAATCTATTCTCAATCCAGAACATATACGGGATCGTCAAGATCAGTGGTCCGTGGCCAAGATTTGCTGAGGATAGAGGGTGTGCTGCAACAAGATTACCCGCACAAGAGATATTAAAACAAGAACAACCGAGGCAAGAGCCACATGCCCAAGAGGCTAAGACTTATTGAGAGCTAGAGTAAGAAGTGATTTTGATCGAATTTCTGAACGAGAAAGATTATGCATGGACGACCTCTATCATGCAAAAGGACCTGTTGCAGACTCGATTGGAGGAGAAAAAAGAAAGCTAAGGTTTTCTCTTAACTATTTTGAGAAAAAGAAGGAAGAGATAGAGACCAACGGGGAACCCATTCTCAAGAGATTTCAAAAGCCAAGGCGTCGAGGAAGTAGAAAAATATGAAAATCAAGGAACCTCAAAGAAAAATATGATCCCGTTGACCAATTGGCTTCTTTTGACTTAGTTTTATGTTTACTCAGGATAAACGACGCGTTAAAATGTTGTTTATTTACCATGATGCTGAAGAATCAGCCTTGAGCCAATTCATCCACCTGCTGTAAGGAGTTATTACCTATTTATGCATATTTAAATAAATGTTGGTAGTATGGTTTGCAACCCATAATCGCCTCCAAAGAACATGCAAGCACTCCTAAAAATATAATGGAGCCCAATGAGAGCTTGAGGAGCTTTATCACTCGTTTTCAATGAGAAATGTTGGACGTCCTAGACCTAATGCCTGCTCACCCATGCAGCTCTGGCCCAGGGCCTGAGTGAAGGATTGTTTCGATACGCTCTTGGATGGCAGACGCCGAAGACTTTGACAGAATTTTTGGAACTCGAGAATAGTGACATCTATGCATGAGAGTACAGTTCTTGCCCTGGACCCTTTAGACCATTAGGATCCAGGGAGCAATATACGAAACAACTACCGGGAACAGAAGAGCTTTTTCAGGAAGAGGAGACTCTGGAGCACTCCTGGCAAGAGCGCATGTCTAGATCAAAGAAGTATTGAGGAAAGACGCTGGAAAGAATATCAGGAAAAGTTTTGGAGAAGCGAAAGTAGCTATAGAATTTGATTGGAAGATTTACATACAAACCACTCAATTCTTTTGTATTTACAAATCTAACACTTGAACTTCAATTTCTTACATACATATTGCCTCACCTATGCATAAAAATGTGTATTTCACTTTTTAAAAGATAAAATGTTGGTATTTTTTATGTGATACAGTCATGATCAAAGTTTGTTGTGAAGGCGAAGACATGAGGCGGCTAGGTCAGACACTGATACCAAGAAGAAAGAATTTTTCAAAGCCTAATCTCTACATTCATAACATGGGCTTAAATAGAATATTACAACATTTTACAAAAAACCTCTAGACTTTTTTGATATTCCTTTTTTATCAATAGAACCCTAAATATCAATAATCACTCATAGAACTTATAAAACAAGGTCCCTAAGCATCAAAATAAATCGAGTCAAAAATACCATAATTTCTATTCTCGTAACTTATATAAGATCTCCTAGTAAGCTTG